ATATTATGTAAACCGAACCTTTGGATTAACAACATCGTCTATTTCGATATCTAACTGTAATATGTTGTTGATTGTATCAACAATGTCCTTAACATTGTCCATCGTAGACCTATAATAACAGAATATGCAACACAGTTTCAAACAACCAGACAGCAAATGATATTGAACGCTGATTTGAATTAAAATTTTCGCGCTCTAGATATTGGTCCCGAAACGACAACAAAAGTTGGGAAACACTCCTGGCTTCACACACTGTCTCGCTTCATGTCAAACTGAATAAACCTTCAAAGCATATTCATCATAACTATTCTTTTGTTTTTGAAATAAAATGTCTGTTGGAGCGGCTTTTCCTCTAGAATTGCTATATTCCGAAATTGTGAATTATTGTAAAGAAAGTGAAGAACGAAGAAACGTTGCCAAAACCCAATGGAATAAAGTGCGTTATTAACATTTTAAAAAGCAAGGTTACTTTAAGATTGCCGAATCTTGTACAGATAGTCCATCTTTGGAAAGCTACACATCTCTTGTGCAACAAGCATTTGCCCATGTATTTATAGTTTCTTTGACTGAATAATGAGTGCGCTTTTTAGAATAATTGTGAGACTCAATTAGAATCTATTGGCTTCCGTATCGGGTACGTGATAGCAGAGAAACTAGCCAAAGATTCTGGAAGACTGTTCAGTGAGTTAGAGGTGTCTTAGCTATTTGTTCGGCATTACTATGATAGTCTTTCATAGATTGTAAAGTTCATTTGCAAAGAGTTTTGGTGCGCAGCATTCGGAAAACAAGTGGACAACCTACGAACTAATCATCAGGTAGTTTTTTTTGAGAAGCTTTACCATGAAAAAAGGTTTTAGGGAGTATATGTGGTTCAGGACAACAAGTTTAGCTCATTGTCATGTTTTTCTGAAGGCACTCAATTCGTGAAGGAGTCAGCTCTTTATTTGGCAATTCCAAGCGGAATAATTCGTGGAGCCTTGTCTAATCTGAACGTCCAAGCTGTTGTTACTCCAACAGTAGAAACACTACCTTCCGTCAAGTTTCACATTCACATCCAACAACGTTGAATTTTTCGATGTACACTTTGTATATAGTAAAAGGAAATAAAGTTTATTTTCCGAAGGCTTAGAAGCATATTAAAAGTATGACGTGAACATTCGAAAATTTCGTGAAAACCATCTATCAGGCTTAGCATCTGAGTATTATTTCTAGCAAAACCGGAGGAGAAAAAACTCTTCTTCCGGTTAAGAGGGCCCATGGCCCGAGCATTTATACAACTTCGCAGAGAAAGGACATGTTTTAAAGATAAATTTTGTCACCTGGGCGTTCTCTTCCTTTGACATGTCATCAACCTCCCTAGATATCTTAAAAACACTTCATGTTGTAATTTGTCGTGTTTTGAAGATATTTTTCGGTTTACCTCTATACCTCTTTAACTTCGTTCATATAATTAGTTCGTTTTAGTATTCGTTATGATAAAGTTTTTGATATGATGTTAATTCTGCCAATTATGATATCAAGTTGTCTTCTGGTGCCACAACTGCCACTAGGCTGCCACTTCTGTGCAGATGCTATGGCAAGCCTTCTTATAGTTTCAATTTATTCTATGTTGATTCAATAGTTCATGATCTTCTTTCGTTTTCTTGTCTGACATTCGGTAGAACTTTGCTCTGTTTGATCCATTTCAACGTTTAAGTCTTTTCAATACTTTTGCTCTCGTTTTGAACCTCGTTTTTATAAAAATAACTTTATTGTAGAAGCTTAGTGACAAAGAGATTAATTGGAGTACCTTGCAAGTTGATATAAAACCAAAGGAGAGTATTGTGGATTGAACAGAATGAAGAGAGAGACACATGCAGTGAAGCTTATTCGTCTTCATCTTCGAACAAAAGAGTTACAGAAAGAAATGATGAAGAGGAGGAGAGAAATGGAGAGGGAGAGAGAGAGAGAGAGAGAGAGAGAGAGAGAGAGAGAGAGAGAAACAGAGAAGCGGAAAAGAGTGGAAATGAGAGAGAGCTCGAAAGAGAGGAGGCAAGATAAAATACTTCTTTGCCGTTGTCTTTACGTTTTCTTTTAATCTCCCCACCCTTCTTCACACTTTCTTCTCATTTCATCCAATTTCCCTTCTTTCATAATCCTTTTTTATCTTCATCTTAAACATTCTTTCATTTTGTCATAAGTTCTACAGATCAATCACTCTTGTCGCTTCCCAACTATTCGATTTATGTCAACACAGCCACACAAGAAACTCATTCATATGGGTCAAGTTTCCCTTTTTCTTCTGCCAAAAAACATCTTTTCCTCTGTGCTGGATGCGCCTTCACCTCTGAAAGCATCCTTCTCTCTGACCAGGACTAGTAGAGTGAGATGGGATTGACCAATGTCAAGTTTGTCCGAGTTCACTTTCCCGATGATATCTCCATGTGAAAACTGTGCTTTACAACTATACACTATACACCTCATTTTTCTTTCAATCATAGAGAGTCATTCCACTTACTGGAAACTACATTCAAAAAAACAAACGAGTGATTTCACTTGGACTTCGAAAACTTGAAGAAGCAAATGAAAACTTGGTTTCGATGAGCAGAGCATACGTTTTGTAATTTCGTTCTCCAAATAATAAAGGCCTTTGTCCTCTGGAATTAGCCTTCCTTGTCATTCTAATTGACTCTTCTAATTGGAATTTTTTTTAAATAAATGTAGTGAAATGATTTGAAATTGAATGATTGAAATTTAAAAGTTACACTTTTGGATTTTGAGATGTCTCTAACAGCTTCGTCCTATGTACTTGGGTAGAGCTGATCTACCGGGTACTAAGTTATCTATGCTTACACCTACCTCATATCTGAAACACAAATCTCTCTTGTTCTCCAGTAGATCAGGAATATTGTCCAATTATGGTAATAACAATGATAAAAGAAAATGAAAAAAAATCCGTTTATTGCATTAATTGACGTCGACAGCTGTTGCGAAAACAAAAAGATAAAGAAAAGAAAAATGAGCATCCTCTCTGCTGAAACCTCCAGATTTCAATGACCTCCTCATCCATTTCTTTCTTTATCTCTACTTGCATATACATTTCAATGTGATGATTGTAGATGTTTCAACTATACCGAAGGATAAAATGGCTATACCAAGCGTTCCATCTTAGTTACTGGCTTCCTTTCCTGACTCTCGCTTCATATACCGTGATTGGAGCGTTTATTTTTCAACTTCTTGAGAGAGATAGGGATGAAGAGCTTAGAGAAAACTATAGGAATAGAACTGATTATGCATTGAATCAAGTTTCTTTTATCTTTTCATTACACAAATGAGGTAGTTCTTAAGGTATTAGAGAGAATGTTGGAAGTTCGTTGTCACGATGTGCTGATCAAAGCAGATAAAGCTTCACAGGTAGGAAGGATAAGAACTTTTTGTAAAAATCCGAGTGATTATCTCATAGATTCATCATGCTAAAGAAGCTCTTTATTGGTTTTTGGATCATTTGAATTTGACACAAGTTATTGACGAAAAGACAGATGACACACCATGGACTTGGTTGGGAAGCATGTTTTATGCGGGCCAATTATATACAACTATCGGTACTTCCATTTTTTTGTCTCAAAAATGTGAATTTCCTCTCCGGAAATCCTTCAGAAGCTCATAACTTCCGTTTTCAGTCAATATTGAATCTGAAGTAGTTGTCAAATGAGTAAAATGAGAAAGAGAGAATGACTAATTATTAATATATAGGCTATGGATATCCAACAGCTCAAACAACGGGAGGAAGAGTTGCCAGTATATTCTACATTCTGTTCGGCATTCCAATCTTTCTCATAATTTTGAAGGTATGCACTTCACAGTAATGTGAGCAATCACAAGTTTCAAGGATATGGGACAACTGTTATCACGAGGTCTTCGTAAACTCTATAAGAGGATGGGAGCTTCTCGAAAGAAAATCGTAGAGGTGACACCTATCAGGAAAATGTCTATACCTGGACTAGTTAGTTTCTCATCGGAATTATGAAATCAAGTGTTTTTTTCCACAGAATAAAACAGGGAAGACCAATAAGACTAATGAAGAGCTCACCGATGGGTTCACCAATAAGAAGGTTTGAAGAGGGTATAGATATAGATTGTACCGGAAGTGCTTTAGAACCATTATCATGAGAAAGGGTTTCCGATTCCTATCGCTCTTTCCATCTTACTTCTTTGGATTGTATTCTCAGCTTCATTGTTTTGTATTTGGGAACATCAATGGGGGTTTCTGACTTCCGTTTACTTCTTTTTCGTCTCCATAAGGTAAACATTTCTTTGTTCTAGTGTGAAAAGTACGTTAAGCACTGTTGGCTTGGGCGACATCGTTTTTTCAAATCCGGACATGATGCTCTTCAACTTTATTCTAATTCTAATAGGATTAGCCTTATTGTCAATGTGTTTTAATCTAATTCAGGTAAAGATTTTCATTCGATTCTGGAGATAAATTTAAAACAATTGACTTCAGTAAATCAAATGACACATTAAATGTCTTCTCTTTCATCATTAATGACTTCAGGCATCGTTAGAGAGATTATTAGATCGTTTGCTCGAAGAATATATTGAAGAGATCGAGAAAATGGCTGAGATTGTAGCAAATGAAGAATGTTTGGAAGAAGAAGCCATTCCTTTAGAGTTTAAAATGACTGGTAATTGAAGATATCATTTCTCTAAGTAACTTTTCATTAGGTAACTTGTTGACTTTACCGATGAAGAGAGTTACACATGACAACGGATTGATTGCAGAGGCAAAGGGGTGGATGGCTGGAAGGTTTTTCTTTTCATGCTCATATAAACTTCTAATAATTGTTTAGGATAGCAGAGAATTTACTGGCTTCTCGTCTTGGTCCTATAAGCGATGAATCTGATTCAGAAAATGAGGAAGACGTTAAAGTAAACAAGAAACACATAAACGTTCACAATCCTCCTTCCTTTTACAGACCAACGAAGAAATAAAGATCGAAAACGGAAAACCAGATAAAGGAAAAACTTTAAACGGTATATCGTTCAAAAAGCATTGTTTAAATTCTTTTAAAGCTCGTAGAAACTCATCTAAGATAGCTTATAACATGGGAAGATATCGCTTTCATCGTAATAGACCTTTGTTCAACACAATCAGAACTTTGGACAAAATCAAACCACAACAGGGAGATTTTAGGTAAACGCGTACACTATACATAACTCAATAACGTTTTGAAGAGGAATGATTCTCTCGAAGTTCATTCAATCGGATAGATTGAACAGAATTGTTGATGAGGGGAATGCGCAAGGTCCAATGATGGTTACAACAAGCTGTCAGACTGACCTTCCAAGCTTCCCAACAGATTGTAGTTATTCCGATTTAGAAAGACTCAAAAAAGGAAGACGTTGGAAAACAATTAGAAAAGGTTAAGAAAAACAGATATCCTTAGCTGAGTCTCCATGTTTATAGATTCGAACTCTTCTTTCTCAACCGTCTATACTAATAGCATGATGGTAGACGATGAATCCCTGCTTTCAGCTGCGTATTGTGACTTAAAGGTAATTTCTTAAGCTCAGAATAATAAACACATTTTTTAATAGTTTGATTACTCAACGGAAGTAACTAGTCCAATTCTGAATATGAGGTCAACGTTATCTATTTTCAAGGTGAGAGCTTAGTACACTGTTCTTCAGATAACCTTTCAATCGATTTGAGGTTGACGATGAAGAGCCTGCTCTACCAAGTGAACTATTCAAAACCAGTGTTCCTGCCTACAGATCTCCTCCGCAAGTAACGTTTATTTCTTTTCGTGATTTAATCCCTTGTTGAGGTACGTTTGAATTCAAACTTAGACAGTGTCAGAGAACGACTGTCACCAAGATCTGAAAAAGTTAGGACCCGGCTTCAGCATTTTGCATCAGATTCAAACTTAAAATGTAACAACTTGCTGAAAGTAGAGAACTCTGATGAGAGCACATTAGAACGTATTTGTGGTCTACTACCTAAAGATTTTGAAAATGTTTCAAACAGGTAACAATATGAAGATAAAAAGGTGTAACATTCCTTGTTACAGAAGCTCAGCAATGGCAGATTCTGGATACGATAAGTCTTCTGAAGCACGAGACTTGGTCCAGAAGCCTGATATTGATGTAGATGAGGTGTTGTAGCTAAAGAGCTTTACAAAATCAATGCGGGTTTTTCTTTTCTTATCGCAATGTTTCCTTCAAACGGGTTTATGAATAAATATTATGTTGAAGACTGTTGCATGATGAATGTAGGCAGAAGCTCTCTACTCTCGTAGCGATGTCCATATAGAAACACTCCTTTATTACTTTACCTTCCTTAGATATTTGCATACTATCTTGAAGATTTTGTGTAGCCGACGTTGAAAACAAGCAGCTGACTAAAAAGACTTTCTCTCTTCTCTTCTCTCTCTCTCTCTTCCTTTGACTGTAGTGGAAGTCTATCAAAATAAATATTTCGATGATCGATGAATAACTAGATCCATTTACCTTTATTCTTCTAATTATTTTATTTTAATAGACAATGCCCCTATCTCGACGTTGCGAGATCATCTCAGATTACGGTATAATTATGTAAATTTCGAAAAAATCGAAGAAAAAAAGTAAAAAGGAAAATGTGTAATGTTGAAAAGAAAAGTTTATTTGTTATCCACTTGAATCTGTTGAGAAAATTTGTTAACAGAAATACAGTAGTTGTTACTTGATATGCATATTTGATGATAAGAAGATTATAGAGAAACAAGCTATTTACATAACTATTACGTCAATATGAACTACCATGACCTTACTATGAGAAAATTATGAGGAAATATCGAATTACTTAATATTAAAATAATATTTATTCTAATTACGTAATGCGATTATGCTGCACGTTTGTAGAGTTACAACTTCGAGCAACACAAAAGAGCCGAAAGTGAGCCTATGATATGAATCCATGTTGTTGAATGAAGAGTGTTGTTGAGTGCTTCTCTATCCACTCTTATAGCTTCTTCCCCTCACAATCCAAACTCACTTCTTACTGCTTTATAATAATTCTCCATTTCATTTAGTCTCTAGTCTGGGAAAAGTTTCTTCACGTATTTGTATCTCTTCGAACGGTTTCTACCTCTCCCTGTTAACAGTTTATGTCATGTACTGATATGCTAATGAGCAAACTACACACATGCTGCTTCTTATACAAACTTGTAGAGAACTCTTGTTCCTTAACAGAGTTTACATGTAGGAACTTCGAATGCCTTTGATTTTTCATAATCATAATATTGAAAAAGTTGTGTTATCAGGTGACACGTGCGGCTTTACAAGATTGCGACTACGGCCACTTCATCTGAAGAGATGGATATATCTTTACTTCAGCAGTAGATGCTCCAGAAAAGTGAAATACCCACTTTGAAACATTAAGCCAGATGCTTTGGTCATTCTTGATTAAAATCTATCTTGTATACTTGTCTATTCGTTTTCTTAATGAAGCTTTGAACTATCCATGTTGCGATTCAACCAATCATATGCTGAATAAACAAACCTACAGTAATCTTCATAGTTTACTCAATGTTTTCTTCCGGAATAGTTAGAATCCCTCAGTTGTGTATGTGATGTATATGAAAATACATGTCGAATTCTTTAATCATCCAATAGTACAGTAGTCTGCCTTCCATGTACTGTAGATGAGAGATTCTCGGAGATCACTTATTCTGATTATATCTTAAATACAGTGAAAGGGGTTATCTTAACATTTGTAGAAGAAGAGCCTGCTTGTTTTTTTCCATACAATTTATCAACAAAGTAATATATGGGAGGAGATACTTCTGCTTATCTCAGTGTTGGGTAGAGCAAAGCGCGCAAAGCCTAGGGGGCGGAGTCACTGTCCTGTCAATTGCTCTCATCTCATCTTGAGTATGTTCAACGTGCCAGCCCTTGTAGGCACTTCCACGTCGTCTTCCACGAACAGCTTTAACCATCAGCAAGCTATCATTGACCGTAATACTTCAGTTTCTACTAATTCATTGAACCCACTTCACGGATCTGCTTCTATAGGATCCAGCGAACAACATAGTGATCATCTCAAAAGCTCTACCAATTTATCATTGAGACTATCAAAAAAATCTACCCCGTCTACATCACTGAGCTCTTTACCCTTTACTACACCTCAATTTCCTAATTACGCAAAGACGTCTATCACGACGGGTATTGTCGGAGCGCCAACTGGCGCCATTGGCGCTGAATGTTTAGCAGCTAATACTTCTGCTAGTACTGCTCCATCTCTTAATCCTTTAATATTCAACAGTGATCTCAAGTATGTTTGAATCTTTTTTTCCTTTTTGTTCATTCGTATCTTGTTAGCAAATGATATCCGTAGGCTCATGAGCTGTTACTTTCGTTTACCATTCTATTATTCATTTTGAACAACTAATATTCAAATATTCTCTCGTGTTTATTCTTAATATTGCCCTCAGTTTAAGGAACGATTTGAAATGGGGGGAAGTCGAGAATACCAGTTCAGAATTGAGCTCCTTGCACAATACAGTTGGAAGCTCCTGGAGTGAGCAATTACCGTGTTTAACTGGTCAGTTTACATATTTAATATCTCTAGAAAAGAAGGACGAGCCTGTACATAGAGAGGTTTTTGGTTAATATCTCAAGTATCTGTAAGAGCTATAGGTCTAATAATTTGGTTCAAGTGAAATATTGTGTGAGGAAGAGAAGAATTTGTATTGTCAAAGGTTACTGTAATCTCGGGAGGGGGTGGGATGTGCAAAATGAAAACTGTGGTAGAGAATGTGATGAAGCTTCGACGACGACACGAAGACGATGACGACGATGTCGACGACTGTCTGAGCGCTCCGGCATCCGCTATTGTAATTTCTGATATTTCTCTGTGTGGCTGGCGATCTGTTGACATTACATAGAAGATGTTCACGAACACAAACAAATATAGATAAAGAGAGAGGATGCGGTAGAAGAAACAGAGGTAAAAATGATGAGAGGGGGAGCAGCACATCTAGATAAACGGATATAAGAGATACTGTTTCTCTCTCCCTATTTTTCTGTTCTCTATTTCTCTCCATGCCTCCTTGTGTCTCGTTTATCTGATAGAGAAATAGTTTTTGCTTTTATCCCCATCTTCACCTTCTGATGCTCAAGAATAATTCCTCGCGTGCCGTCTGATGCAAAGAATATCCAATTCGAGATACTTCCTTGTTTGAAAAAGGGATTTTACCTTTAAAATATATTTCCAGGATCTTATCCGAATTCCTACTTCACATGGGAGCATAATTCCACAGCTTATCCATATGATTCGTCCCCGTACTTCCCCAGTGGGATAGCAACCGGTTACATTAAAAGAAAATTATAATTTTAAAATATAATTTTAGGAACAACATCAGCTATGTATGCACTACCTCCAGCCGATCCTTTCCAAAAAACGGATGCTATGCTAACAGAAGCAGCAGAGGCAAAACATGTCAGTCCTGACAAACTAGAGTAACGGTTTCAAAGACAGACTGAAGATATGGAAATTTTCAGACCAAAGGTGGTTGATGATGAGGACGGTGTAGATGAGGATGAAGAGATTGACGATGGAGAAGATGGAACAGGTTTGAATTTCGAAAGATTTCTTTCAAGTTTATGAAAAAAACTATTAAGGTAAGAAAAAAACAAGAAAACGACGTGTTCTGTTCACTAAAGCCCAAACGTACGCTCTTGAGAGTCGGTTCGCCATTCAGCGTTATCTGGCAGCTAATGAAAGAGAACAACTTGCCGCCGAAATTAATCTCACACCTACTCAAGTGAAAATTTGGTTCCAAAATCATCGGTAGAGTAACTTATTTGAGATTAACGTTGAATCGCCGTTTATAGATATAAAACGAAGAAAACAATGCAAGATAAAGGATTAAATTCAAATATTCTTGCCAATATGTCTACGGGTACGAATGCGTTCACACCTCCAACAGGGTCAACAGCGTTTAGCACCAGAGGGTGAGTTCATAGTCTTTATTAATAGGTTCAAAAGAAGATTTTACAGCTTCAGAATGCCGAATTTGTCCTTAAATACAGTACTGGTACGAGATGGAAAGCCATCAGAGTTATCTTCCTCACCATGTCAAGCAGCAGCAGCAGTAGCATTTTCAAATACAACCAACGGGTTCGTTTCCACACCATAGACAGTTCAACGTATTCTTCCATTTAGATATTTCTCAGCTTCTGCTGGTTATTTGCCGTCGGCTAACTACTTGTCCCAAACACCAACAACTACAACCTACATGAATATGAGGAGTGGTTTTTGGTAGAAGCATTCCGAATAAAGGCAAAAAAACTTCATTTTCATTATTTTAAGCTCAAATTGTGATATAAACCCTTGTCTTATATATAATTAGATTGAATTTATGTAAATCCACAGTATTTATTGATTGATGATGCTCTGATAAAATCATTTTCGTACTCATGCACCCGCGTGCGGTTGTTCCTACTCTCTTTCACGCAACTTCAACTATATGCTAATTTAAGAGAAAGAAAACAAATTCCACGTGTTGGAGCATTTATTGTGAACGATGAACATCCAAGAAAGAGTCGTGAACTTCATTTCAAAAGTGAATTTTACTTTTCAAACAGTAATTCTCTCTACCTTCATTTTCAGGTGTTTCCCAAAGAGAGAAAGACATCTTCATTGTTTGTTGCCAAATCATGATCATCTGACCAATGCTTATTTATAGGAAGAGAAAACCTTTGAAGTTATTTTTCATCTCTTACCCTCTCGCTGTTTTCTTCATTCTGGATATTACCCTAGTTTATGCTCTGATCGTAAGTTTGGGGAAATTGAAATATGAACCGATTGACTACCAGAAGAAAACAGTGAGCTATAAGTTGAAGAAGTTGTCTAACTTCCTCCAATATAGGTGAATGAAATGTTTTTGAATTACAAACATATAAGAACCCAGAATGTCTTCGTATACAGTGAATCCGTCACTTGCAACAGAATAATCATGTATTCTTTGAATATCGAAACAGTCATATCTAAGCTATGTTCAGGGAAATGTATGAAGAGAACATAAAGTATGCTCGATTAGATGCTCCTCTCACAATGACCATTTTGATGCAACTCTGTTTATTGTTAGATTCACCTCATACTAATAGCATTGGATCATTGTCTAATTTCAATCTCAAGGGACCAGGGTCTCAGTTACGAGTTTTTTATTCCTTGAATTGCTAGTTTTCAGATGTTACCTCACCAGATGGCTGGACAAGGTAGATTCCTTGAGAGGTAATAGTTCTTGATAGCTACTAGCAAAAACATTATTCTCACAGAAACTTCCGGATCAAAACAATCGAACTACAATGATCAAATAATTAACTTCTTGGCAATGTCTACGTCTTCTCAATTAAATCTCACTGATCTTCACAACACTTTCGAAGTTTTTGAAGAAAAAATTTTAACATTTTTCACATCTACAGTGAGTGACTTAGAAATTAAAAAGTAAAGTCTCGCAGGATAATGAACCCATTTGGCAAATGTCGCATCAACTCCATGAAGCTTTGAAGAAGATAGAACTGAACGCGGAACTATCCGAGAAACTTCTGAAGTCTCTATTTCATTTTGTTCACTTTATCAAAATGCTTTCTACGTAGACAATATATCTCCATTGAAGAAAATGACTTTTATCAAGCCAACCAGTACTTTAAAGCTGATTTCACCTCAATTTTGGAGCTACTACAAGGATTGAAAAAAGAAGTTTTTTGTATCTTCTTTTGATTCTCCAAAGTTCTGTTAAGGTTGAGCTCGCAAACATGACAAAACAAATGACCCCAGGTTTCTTTCTAATTAATCTTTTCTAAACCTGCTTCTCATCGTTCTAGTTCATATTAATCTTTGTCGAAACATCATAGATCAATTTCCAGTATACTATGGAGAACTATCGAAGTCCATGACCGAATTCTCTGATAAATACATAGGTAAGCAGTTATGCTTGTACTGGGAGAATGTACTTGCAAGTAACCTGCGACGGTGTGTGTTGCTCATCCACAAACGATTATGTGGAGAATTTTTTCACCGAGCTACTACGGGAACTATTCGAGAGTTTGAGACTGGAAAGGATAATGGATGTAAATTCAGAAAAAGTAATATTATGAGTTCATTCCAACCTTTACACTATTGTTGTAGATCACTAAAAAAAGTAGCCGTGTTGTAATAAAAGTTGGAGAAACCTTAATTGCTGGATCATCCTCCCATGGCTCTATGTATGCTGTTTACAAGAGCTATCACACTTCTTTTCAGTTTTGGAAATTTATTACCAATACCATACCGGAAAGGATTCCTTAACAACCTCGGGGAATTCAATGATGTATCAAAGCTATATCCGTATTTAGACGTTCCACACATTATTCAAGCACCAAATGTTGAGAGATTAAAGAGCTTAGTTTCAAAACATCTTTCAGGAAGACAAATATGTCTTTCTTGGCAACGGTGGCTCCTTCCATCGTTCGAAAGACATTCTTCGCTTAACTCATTTCTTCATGCAACATTTCATTTTTGGGAATTCTATTTTCAACACGTTCCAATGTATTGAGAAGAAAAACTTACTCGCAGAGACTTTGAAACAAGTAATGGACGAGAAAAGTATTGTAAGAGTAACACGAACTGATTCAAAACGTAAAGAGTAAACAATTTAGGAAACGGATATCTTCGACAATTTGCCAGATGATGGAGTTCTGATTAGATTTTCCAAAAACAGTGGTTATTGAATTATTTGTTCATATGCATTTAATCTGTTCAATTAAGAAACGGAAATATTTCATTTCGACACGAGGAGCATTGCAAAACCTGTGACACCTTTCTTCACGGCTTAACTTCGGAAGAATGAACAATAAATCAGATTTAGGCAATTCAATAGTTGGCCTATAAACATAGCGAAGCAGTAACGATCTAGCCATCTTAATCTGAAAACAATACGAAAATTAAAAGACGAATGCAATCTCATTATACTTTGGAGAAAATTTTAAACAAAAGATGTTTGGAAGATAAGGCAAAGCAACCGATATCAGAAGACAAACAACTACTATAAGCAAGTTGACTAAGACGTAAATTGCTGAAAATTAAAAGAATTAGTTGAGATATTTCGAAGTGTCTCCAGTTGACCTAAAATTGGTAAAGATTTAGTTTTCGGAATCATTGATGAGAGTATTCCCAGGATGAATGATAAAGACATGACATTCGTGAGTCCGACTGTGAGCTTCCCCATCATGTCTGAAGCTTTGATGAATAATCCAAATATTGAGAACACATTAAGAATGAAGGAAGGGATAATGATAAGCGTGTAATAGTATATAAAATTTCTTTTCAAGTAGATGTCAAATCGTGCCTAAAAATGAAACTTCATCGACTTCTCACGATATTTGAATACTATTTGAATATGAACGAAATCATTGGGACGAACATCTTCTACAACAGCGATCATTTCGGTTACTTGCCATTCTCCAGTCCCCTTAAGATATAGATTATCATGAGCTAATTTGAATACTAACCGTAGTGGAGAGGGGAAAGGGGTATGGAGTAGTTATGCTGTTTGTTAAGTTCTGAACATTAGCCGAGAATGCTTGGGATAAAAAGCGCAAACTACAAACTTGTTGATCAAGCGGAAAGTTGCGAACCTAATTTTGAAGAATAATTATATGTTTAACTTATACACATACATCCACATTACAAATGGATGACATGAACATTGTTGTGTATATTTCGATAACTCCCGTACTTCGAAGCTGAAAACTTGCTCATTAGGAACTATTGACTAGGTTCTCACTAACCATTGTGAACTTCTGCTTATCTTCACGAAAATCCTCGAAATATTGACTGGAAGGCATCTTGTATCTCGTTGAAATGCCAACTTTACCTCTGTGTTGGAGTTAAGTCAGGTTTGAACAACATTGATTCAGGTGGATAGACTGTCTCGATCCCACCATATTGACTTGAATTCCAAGTAAGACGAGGATCTCGGTAAGTCTAAAGATGCTAATGCTTTTGTTAGTCATTTGTGAAACCTTACTATTATAAACTCGATGACAAAATCAACACGTTCATTCGGCTCATTCTTAATAACAATTTACTTGGAATAGAATTCAAAACAAACTAAGCCAATCAGCTTAATGAATCCGAGATGTAAGTTGACGTTGAATACCTCAGTGGAGTCACTTATATTAGCTAAAAATATCATCGTTTTCAGTGATCAGTGAAGCCTACCTAAAGAGTTAATTGGGCCAATCGAGGGATTTACTTTCAAGATGACTTCATCATACAATTTTTGCTGATGATCAAAGAAATCTAAAAAAGATGCGTACAGCAGTTTCTGAAGTTCAAAAACTTACTCTCTTTACAAAATATTCGGGAGAAGCACAAGAGTGTTAGAACTTCTTTCATCTGCACAATGCGTGCAAGTCATATTCTATTTCCATGTCCAACCAAAAAGTAACTCTAGACATTAATTTGAGTAAATGACTTTGAAATGATGTCACGTGGCTACCTAGTCGCCACGCTCATTTTCAAATTTGCATTAGCAGCCAACGGTTGTGAAATGAAATACTTTATTTAATAAGACATAGATGCTTGTGTGGGAGAATCAGCTGCTATGATTTGTCTTGATTCTCCTTTAACTCGGTTTGCTCGACTTCTGCTTTTACAGCAATAGGATAACCATTTTCCCGAATGACACGTGCTATCACCAGGGCAGAATCTATAATAACAAATCTTCTGATGAAAATGGAAAACAAATATACTTGTGATCGCAGCTTTTGCCCAACAGTTCTGTTTTTCCCCACCAACGCTCCAACTGAACTACTTCACCACCGTTTTCGCATTTGGGTGTATAATCGTTATTCCAGTCCTCTTGATGAAACAGATAATTTAGCGGAATAGAGTTATATTTACCTTCAGTTTGTTTATCACAACATATTCCAAACCCAAAACCACCAAAACGACAGCTCGAATGATCTGGACATTTCATCAGATCCGAGCAAAAGCCATTTGGAGATTTATTGGCACCACAGGTGTTATAATCCTCTACAAGTATGTATGTGCAAGGCAGCAAACTTGTGAACTCACGTGGTATACAGTACGCAAAACAATCATCTTCTGTTGCGAAAGAGTTGTATCCTTCATCATTCCCTTCGAAATAATATTTGAAGCACATAGCTAGCTCTTTGTCATAATAATACTTAATTACAGATAATTATTCGAAAAAAATAGAATGAAACGAACTCTAAATCCTTTATTTGGACCAGCAGTTCCTCTTCTAAGATCCAACTCACAGTCTTCAGCTGAACGTTCGTGCGTTTGACCAATTTGTATTTGTATTAAACAAATTAGCATGAAAAGCATCTCTGTAAGATGTCAGGAGAACGAATGAACAACAATCAAAAACTAAGAAGGAACTGAAAAAAACAAATTAACCTTGATCCGCTTACCTGTTACCTAATTGACCATCTGTTCTCGTGCATATCGACTCTTTTACAAATTAGATACAAAAAAACAGAAAATTTTAATTTTACCCAGTTCTTATTGAAACTTCTTCGTGTCGTTTTCCTCCTTTTCTTCTCTCATTTTACATTTGAATGGAAAATTTCATTCTAATGAAATAATAAAAGGTACATTAAGCCTCGCTGGAAAGTATTTGGAAGCCATTTGAAATAAAGAATTCTTGGAAAAATTTGTTTTGGAAGGCCCTGGTCAGATCCTCATTCAAGCTTTCCATCCATTTTTCTCAGTTCTCCTCGAAAGATATCGTTTGTTCAGAAACCTCATTTTCATCATGCATGTACGTATGTATGTACATCAGAACTCAATAAAAGGTCAGCATGATTTACTCTATCAAGAGAATACTCTCCCCATACATGGCTGACGTCATAAGCTTTCAAGAAATGGAGCTGTTGCATGTAGAGCATTACAACAAAATTCATTTAAGCTGACAAAGTTTCTCTTCTTCTCTCCAACAACTTGACAACTTTCATTCTAAACCAAAGAAAATTAGAACAATCATTAAGTGAGGAAGGTTTTCACTTGAATCTCCTTTATCTTTTTTTCTGCTTATAGAGAAATTGTGTATGTTAGATTAGAAAGCAACTCTTCAATAACTAAAAAAGGAAAGCGAGAAGGGGGGAGGGTGTAGAAAAAGGAAAAAAAGATAGAGCAAGAAGACGAGAGGAAGGAGCGAGAGAGGATGTGAAGTCAAGCACACAAAGTTAGTAGATGATCAAGCTGCTTTTTTCTCAGTTTATTCCGCTTTGATTTCTTACGAGTCTATTGCTTCTTCATTGAAACGCTTGGCTTGTTTGGCTGAGCAGATTAAAAAAAAATTCATTGATTATTCCTTGTTTGACTGCTTTTCTTAAAAGGTTACATGTAATTAGAAGCGTTTTGGAAGAATCTCGCTACTCAATCTCATACATGATGTCCCGAACCGCAATGAGACAGTTAGCATTTGAATAAGATTGGAATCTGTCTTCACTCATTTCATTTTCTTATTTTCAACATACAGAACGCACAGAGCGGTTGCCTCTTCCGAGCTGTCCAGTTGTAAATGGCTGAGTTAGTTCCAGAAATTCCTAACAAGCTTCATTAAGAAGTCTATAACTCATTTCCTCTTTCTATTTCATTCAGTTCAAAGTAATTCTCTTAAAACTTTCTTTATTACCTTCATAAAAGCTTTTATTGATTTTATTTTTTGCTTCTTCATGTTTTCCTAGCTGAATATGGCAAATCTTTAACGACATTTGTCTTTCCTCTTCTTCAACTTACTAACACATGTTAGAGAGTCTCTCCTTATCTTCCAAACTCCAAAGAATGTATCTCATTGCGCAAAACTGGGGACATGATCCGCCTCTTTCATTTGCATACTTTCCTATTAATGGCAATGAAGAGGGTTCGAGTAAGAAATTGTTATTAAATTTCTTTTTCCTCCACCAATAATCTGCTTCCAAGTTATCCTCTTAATCCTGTAAGATTTCCTCTCAAGACCTCTCTTTTTTTCCAATCTTCATGTGAATCACAAAATTTGGTTGGACGGTCCTCCGAGCTTAATTTTCGTTTTTTGCTCTCTCTGTATCTTTTCTAATTATTCGTGAGCTTGTATGTTTTCCAGAGAGATGGCGCTTAACTTCGATGAACCAGTTAATACAACAAATGCCACAACTTCTTCGCAGGATGAAATGATTCTGGGAACAATGGGGACAGTTAGTTTTTCTTAAGCTCACCACAAATAAAGCTTATAATTGAAGATAGAAGTTGCGATTCTCATTTGTATTCTTTGTGTAGGAGGCCCTCTAAACGTTTTATCATTCCAGAAATCTCTTTTAGCCTTTCGGTTTTTTGTTTCTCTCAAATTCAATTAAATTTTAATTCTCCTTTTTAGGAATCACAAAGCTAAAAGTCCAATTCTACTTTTACGAATAAACTTGAATATTGCTGACTTAATAACCATATTAGTATATGTTCCACGTCAGATCATCTGGATGTTAACGTATCAGGTACGTACTCTCAAGCATATTCGAGTACCTTATAGCTTATAGTGGCTAGGAGGGGAGTTGTTGTGTCGATTGAACTCATTCTTCTCAACATTCTCTTTTTACTTAATTTCTTTCATTATTTCATGCATATCCATAGACAGAGTATATGGAGCCTACAACATAAGGTTTACCATTCACTTACTGGACAACCCAATGTGATTAAATCTATTTAAGCTCCCTCACAGCTCACAGGCAGTCCTATAGAAGATGTCGGAGTCTTTTAACAGTAGCTTGGGTATTAGCATTTTTTCTCAGTATTCCTCAAGTCATCATATTTCGCACTATAAATCCAATAGAAAGTTTTAGGTGAGAAACTTATTTTATAACTTGTGAACACTGTTTTCAGTCAATGTGTGCCTCTGTGGACTGTCATCAACTTTCACGCGCATCCTGTTATCCTAAACAAAAGTCTTCCTGAGCACGTACGTGAGGCAGTAAGTTAAATATATAGAGAGAATGTTCTCGTCACTTCTAAAACTGTAGGCGAGCAGGGAATTAAAACTAATTCAACAAATTGAACATTTGTATAATGTGGCTCATTTGTTTTTTGTCTTCTGGATACCATGTACCATAATCGTTGTTTGCTACTTGACTGTGCTATTCATCCTGCAGGGACATATCAGTGAAAGTAACTTTAAACCCTAGTTATATCAACGTTGTCTGTTCTTCAGATAACTCCTGTACATCTTGGATTAAGAGCGGAAAAATGCATTCGAACATAGGTGCGCAAAATGAAGTCGACATAAAGTAATATGTTTCGTTTAGATTATCCTGTGTCGGCCAGCTCAACAATGCTTCCAGTTGAAGAATCATCATGTGTTGTTAAGATAAAAGAGTATTCAGGGAATACTAGGAAGTAATTATGTCTTTTGTCTTTCTAGGGAATGTTCAATGGATTCACGTTGTGGGAACAACAGTCACCAATCGAGATGCTCAAATCGATTAGGAGCTGTAGCTGTAACAACTATCCACAAAGCCAAACAGGTCAGAAAGAGTTGTAGAATAACAAGTTTATGGGAATTATAGCACGCCAAGAGACAAGCTGCGTGGATAATATTGGCCTACTTGACATTCTGGACTCCTTATAACGTCTTAGCAGTTCTTTCTTTGCTCGACTTAGGTCAAATACCATTTCTGCTCAGTTTTTTGAATTCTTTAATATGTGCAAACTCTATCGTAAATCCGATAATATATGGTGTTTTTCGCAAACGCTCATAATACTCTGATTGAAATAAAGAAACTTTCGTTCTCTATAGAAGTCGTGAGCAGATGAAAACCCAACACGAGTTTGGAAAATTGTTGTGTAAATAGTCCAACTCTCGATGATTGATGTCAATAAAAGCGATATAGGGTCACTGATCTTCTTTTAGTTTTGAAAAAAATGAGGAGAAGAGGAAAGCTCTAAATGTTTTCAAATGATCTCTTGTTCAAAAGGAAATTTTTGATTCACAGTTTCTGAAGACACACGAAACATGGTTGCAAGTTCTCTCACCTTATAAACACTATCATTATTTGTATAATTAGTATAAGAGTTCAGTTGTGGATTGTACGAGTTCACAACATCAATTTTCAGACAAAACAATTCTAGAGTTGAACACGATGTGCAAATATACTTCTGGAGGTTGTCCCGTTACAATCTCCGAAATGAGTATATATAGCGAAAGATCTTCAACTAAGACTCATCGCATTCTCAGTGATGGCTTACCGTTTGATTATATTACTTGCTTTTATCTCAACCACACTAGCTTTTCCACCTGGAATAGAAAACATTCCACCTCCACCAAGGGTAAGTCATAATTTTCGTTCTTGAAACATTTTATAATCAGGAGCTTCCACCAGGCTTTGCTGAAATTCTTCCTTCCGATGTTGTACAACAGCTTCAGCAAGTACATGAAAGTGATACGATGAGTCCATTGGTACGTATTTGTTTGACAAATAGATTTCTCATACTCGTAACAGGAAAAACACGAGAAAATTGATCAAATTCTTGTCAATTTGCCAGAGGATATCGCTGATCGTTTGCCAAAGCCCCCAGGCTTCGAAAGCCTACCTCAGAATGTAAAAGATCACTTGAAAGATTTGCATAGAGATAAAGTAAGTCTTCTAACAAGACGAAAATGACGATGATGAGATGATCCTTTTTAGAGTTTAACTTGGCGTAGTAGAATGGATAAAGTTCGTGAATACTTGTCTAGCCAGCCAGAAGAAATTCGAAGACTTCTTCCACCAATGGGACCTCCTCCACCACCAGGCTTCGGACCAGCTCGTATGCCATCATTTGAACGTCGTCAATAAGGCACATATTCCTCCTTTAATTTATATAATAAAGTATTCTGAACGATTCATATCGAACACATTCGAAAATAATTAAACAAACGAATTGCAAACAAAAGTTTCATCTGATGACCTTTCCATGTCATGTCAAGTATTGTATTTCATTGGCTCATCATGGAACTAATGAATTAATGACAACTTCGGAGATTGTGTTTCTTTCGCAGTACGTACGTAGCTTTATGATCTTTCAGACAGTCATCCAGCTTTCTCAAAACATCTACCAATCATTTTCTCATTGTTCTTATTGAATGTTACCGTCTTTCCTTATCATCTCTATAATCCAAAGTTATATACTCCTACCGTTTTAATCCTCTTCAATGATAAACAAATTAGTTTGCAATGGCACCTTATTTGACTGAACAAAATATTTTTTCAACCTGGTTGGAAATTAAACTTTTCTGTTCAACTATCCTCAATCTGTAATTATTCAAATAAAGAAACACCTCAACCCGTTTTGTTTTTATTTACTTTTAAGATACACAAGAATAATCTCCTCTTGCAAAATAATACTAAGTTTGATAAGATCTTAAGTATAAAATGCATGAGTTAAAAAACAAAAATCAGTCCATCATGAAGGCGTTGTTGCTTCTCGGGCTAGTTTCCATATCATATTGCCTGAAAGGGCGTCAGGTATACTTTTTCTCAGAGTTGTAACTACGATATCATTCCAGATAACCACAACAGGATTCGATGCTGGACCAATCGCTAAAACTAAACCCATAAAAAGTATTACAAAGCTTATGTAACTAAAACAGTTATGTTTTATAGAAGTATTCTCAAGCAGTAGCACAAATTTGGGGACCATTTTGGAAGGTGGAAATGGTGTTCAAACATCGGGAATGAGCGGATCGTTTGGTAGTATGAACACTGGCACGATCATGACACAGGGTCCCACGAAGACTGTGAACATAAAGTTTTCTCCAGGACTCGATCCCAATAAT